AGATTGCAGGTCGGAAGATATGGTAGCTGATTGCTTAACTAAGCCTTTACCAACTGAGAAGTTTGAGAAGCATCGTATAGCGATGAACGTGTGCAAGTCCTGAGCGCGTGGGAGTTTTGGAAAGTGCTCTTAGGTACACTCAGGCTTGACACTTCGGTAGTTTGATTAGTTGCCGTTATCCCAATACGACATCGGATCAGGATTGGCTACGGTATGCTTATATACTGCTTGCGTATCCTTTCTCTCTCTCTCCTTGTGTAACGATATGAGCGAGTGATGTGTTCACTGAAGGACTCTTATCTCTAACAGCATGTCGTGGTGTCGCAAGGAATCATGAAACCTTATATACTTCAACGCTATGCGACTTTACAAATTGATCACTACCCAGCTTAAATTTAGCCAATATCACATATCTAAGGCTGCCGTACAAACATGGTCTTGCAACATTCGCGCGCCGGCTCATCCGTAATTCATTCGTAGGCATGCAGAGCTCATAGCTCTGCTTATGATTGCTGTTGCATTGTACGAATCTCACGCGGCGCCTGTCCTTAGTGCCTAGTTGCCCTGCCGGTAACGCTGACATGAGTACTTGCGTCCGAGGCTTTTGCATTTAATTTAGACGTATAAGGGAGATACATATAAGAGAGATACTTCGCATTACTGGCCTGCTTAACATGGAACGTAATAAACCTAAGGCATAGACAATCGAATACCGGCACAACAGTGCCTGACCAGCAAGCTCGCGCTTAAACTTCTCTGTTAACTTGCATTTTTATCTCATTCTTAAACATGGGTGGAGCAGGCTCCACGGTACGCGACAGGGTAGCTCCGTCGGCAGGTGGTATGACCTGTCCATACTTTAATGATTAATGTCCCCTATGCAACAGGAGGCAGGCAATGTCGTGCGCGTTCAGCCTACACCTCGCAACCAGGTGGTGAGTCCGTCTCTGCTCTCGCTCGCACTTGCCTGCCATGCATGACCTACGCCATAGATGCCATACCTGGAAACCTAATCCAGACTTAGGATTTTTCATATATTAAAAACGACTATCTCATTTATTACCGTGGCGTGCCTGCTGCCCTGCTCTTTTGGACATAACTTTCTGCTGGCATTCGTCGTAAATGTCGCCGCGGCAGGTGCCCACCATGGAAGCTTCTCAGCCCACGCAGCCCATGGAAGACTCGGCTAGCTTAAGACTACAACTGAAACAGGAGAGGGAGGAGCATGCGAAGGCCTTGGAGGAGGCAGCGGCAGCGGACCGCAAACGGCTGGACGAGGCTGCAGCGGTGGAGCGGCGGCGATTAGACACAGATGCGGCTGCTGAGCGGAGCCGCCTGGATGAAGAGGCAGCTTCACTGCGGGCTCGCTTGGATGGTGAGGGCGCGGAAGAGCGGCGGCGGATG